TGCAGAACAGAGCTGGGGATATAAGAAAAAATGGGGACAAAAATAAATAAAGAAATACACAGAAAAATGGGGATATAAAGGGGAAAAGAAAAATGAAAAAATTCCCACGGTTTAACATATACATATATACAGCTTTTGAATATATTTTGCATTCAATAATAACTTCTACTGTCAATATTTTCGTAAAAATGGTTTCGTTCTTGATTTACTTCTCGAATTAGACCTGGAAAACGACAACTTGAAAAACTAATCATTTCGCAATACATTGACTTCCGCTGTGTAAAACCAGTTTAACTTTATAACGTACAAAGTAAAATTGTGCAGGAAAGTAAGGAATGGCCCACAGCAATTATCTTTTGAGAAACGTGGGCATTTACATAGAAAATTGAGTATACGCCGCAGTGTACCTGTTGCCACCAATCATAAATCCAGCCGGACATTCATCCCATCGGCTCCAGGACCCCGTTTTAATGTCTAACCAAATGTTTTAAGAGGCTTTTGCGAAGAAAAGAAGCAACAAAAAAAATTAAAAACAAGAAAGGAAGATAACTTCGGCACGCCGAAGTTTATATACCCTTGCAGATAGAACTTCTATGACTAGGAATCCATACATTATAAATTATATATATTTGGGTTAAAAACAATGAAGTAATACCTGCTTTCATTTCATGCACCTATATATACCTATTATATTTGCAGTTTAACATTCACAGATTTGCATTTTTCCTCTAAATCAAACGATCGCTTGTATGGCACTTATATGATATAGTCGTCCGACTTTCATGAAATTTGACACAATATTTCAAACTTATATAAAATGGCTTTACCTCAAATTTGATGAAAATCTGTTGAAAACTGAAAATGTTATCGCCACCGCGATTGTCAGTCTTCCGACAACAGCCACCGCCATTCACAGTTCTCTCAAATTTCGCGATCGGTCCTATGGGATATATGTTATATATGTCCGATTTTCATAAAATTAAACACAAAATTGTAGAATAATATAAAATGGCTATATCTCAAATTTGATTAAATTCGGTTGAAAACTGAAAATGTTATCGCCACCGCGATTGTCAGTCTTCCGACAACAGCCACCGCCATTCCCAGTTCTCTCAAATTTCGCGATCGGTCCTATGGGATATATGATATATTAGTCCGATTTTCATAAAATTTTACACAAAATTGTAGAATACCATAAAATGGCTATATCTCAAATTTGATTAAATTCTGTTGAAAACTGAAAATGTTATCGCCACCGCGATTGTCAGTCTTCCGACAACAGCCACCGCCATTCACAGTTCTCTCAAATTTCGCGATCGGTCCTATGGGATATATGATATATTAGTCCGATTTTCATAAAATTTTACACAAAATTGTAGAATACCATAAAATGGCTATATCTCAAATTTGATTAAATTCTGTTGAAAACTGAAAATGTTATCGCCACCGCGATTGTCAGTCTTCCGACAACAGCCACCGCCATTCCCAGTTCTCTCAAATTTCGCGATCGGTCCTATGGGATATGTGATATATTAGTCCGATTTTCACAAAATTTTACATAAAATTGTAGAATAACATAAAATGGCTATATCTCAAATCTGATTAAATTCTGTTGAAAACTGAAAATGTTATCGCCACCGCGATTGTCAGTCTTCCGACAACAGCCACCGCTATTCTTAGTCCTCTCAAATTTCTCGACCGTTTCTATGGGATATATGATATATTAGTCCGATTTTCACAAAATTTTACACAAAATTGTAGAATAATATAAAATGGCTATATCACAAATTTGATTAAATTCTGTTGAAAACTGAAAATGTTATCGCCACCTCTCGAATTTCTCGACCGTTTCTATGGGATATATGATATATTAGTCCGATTTTCACAAAATTGTATACAAAATTGTAGAATAATATAAAATGGCTATATCTCAAATTTGATTAAATTCGGCTGAAAACTGAAAATGTTATCGCCACCGCGATTGTCAGTCATGCGACAACAGCCACCGCTATTCTTAGTCCTCTCAAATTTCTCGACCGTTTCTATGGGATATATGATGTATTAGTACGATTTTCACAAAATTTTACACAAAATTGTAGAATACCATAAAATGGCTATATCTCAAATTTGATTAAATTCTGTTGAAAACTGAAAATGTTATCGCCACCGCGATTGTCAGTCTTCCGACAACAGCCACAGCCATTCTCAGTTCTCTCAAATGTTATAATTTTTTTTTTTTAACTGAGACACTAGGTTGCGTAGAAACGGACAGACGGACAGAAGGAGAGACGGACAGGCGGACATGGATAGATCGACTCGGCTGTTGATTATGATCAAGAATATATATACTTTATATGGTCGGAGGTGCCTCCTTCACTGCGTTGCAAGCTTCTGACTGAAATTATAATACCCTGCAAGGGTATAAAAAGCAAACAAAGCAACAGAAAAAAAGCTAAAAAAAAAGTGAGATTTCCATGGGTTTCTCTTAGACCCTCGCATTTGGCACAAGATTGTTGTCTGCGGTGATAGGGCATTTTCCTTTTCCACTTGGTGAAACTTTTAATAAATTGCTCTTTTATGAATTTAATGAGCACAAAAAAGAGTTGTCCTCTAATCGATGAATGTTAGTTTGTTAATAGGTAGAATAGGATTTTAAATATGCCAATAACTAAAGAAAACAAGGTTTTTGACAGGTAAAATATTCATTCCCTTGCATAAATGTAGAAAAATAACCCCCGAGAAAAGCACGAAGGTGATTAGCTACAGGTATTAAGCTGTGAAAAAGGATAGACAGACGACCGGACGGTGGAACAGACGGACATGGCTAGATCGATTCGGATATTGATGCTAATCAAGAATATATATACTTTATAAGGTCGAAGATGACTCTTTCATCTGACTTAAATTATATTACTTACAAGAGTATAAAAACTCGACAGAATCACAATATATTAAATATAAAAATGAAATGAATTTTTCACTTACCGGTTTTTATAATGTGATGTCTTTTTTATTTGTATTTTTTTTATCACGATATTGTTACTTTTTAGTGATCTCGCAAAACACGTAAATAGGAATATTTTGCTGTTGACTGGAACTTTATTGGTGGAATGCTTTGATTCTTTTAAATCTGAAAAAATATACGAATACTAAATTTAGTAAAATGACAATGTTATAATCATAAGAATGTGGAATAATCTTAATATTTGTATTTTCTATCTTCTAAGACTTTAGTGGAAAGTCAGTTATCTATCGCAGAATAAATCAAAAATTGGCATGCCAAATACCCGTTCTTGAATTTGCCGAAATTCTGTCGAATAATTCTTTGTAATTAACTAATTACCAGAAACATACGAATGCTGCAATCATATTTTCCCCTGGATTTTTTGCCGTTAAACAAGCACAACCATTAGCACGGTTATCATTTAGCCTCAGTTTTTCAGCAAGGGGTCACCGGGGCACACCTCGAAACCCGAATCCGGAACTCCGAGTCCAAAGTCCAGGAGCGCAAATGAACACAAATGGTAATGAATATAGAGGAGTGTGGCATTGCCATAGTTACGACTGCATGGTCCATACAATTAACCCGAATTGAACTAATGCCCCAGTACTCGGCCACCTGATAAGCCCCACCAGTCCGGCAGTCTGGCAGTCGGGAACTTACGCCCATTTTTGGGGTTTTCCGGGGCTTTCCTCTCGGTATGCATAAGTGAGGGCTGCCCGGAAAAATTCAACTAAAAATCAACACTGACGGGGGATAGAGTGGGGGACAGGGGCCTTGTGGATAAACTTTTCCCTTTTGCAGGGAATGGAATTCCATGTGCAGTTGTCCTTGTTATTGTTTAGTGTTTATTCGGCGCAGAGCAGGTGCTGGGAAATCCACAAAATTTTCTCGTCTGTTGTGCAATTAAAATTGCACAAATGCAGGGGCCAAGAGTTTCCCAGGAGAGTCCGACAGCCCGAGTCTCGCAAATCCAATTCTACAACTAACACAGAGCTCACACAGAGCGACTGCACACTCCAAACCATTCATTCATGCCATCTCAGTCCGTAATTGTTTTTCTGTGACTCGTTTATTGAAAAGTTTTACATATTTCATATGCACATCAGAGCCAAACCTGGAAGCAAACCGAATTTTCCTCCCTGAATTACGCCAAACTTTATCATCATCATCATCAACTGGGGGGTAGGGAAACCGAAACAGAAACAAAACAAATGAACATTTAGAGTATGGCTCTTGTTTTTGGTTTTAATTTACTGCCCGGCACTGAAATGGTTTTAAACTACGTGCTTAGCACGTCGAAAAAAGAGAAGAAATGAACGAAAAATGTGGCTGGAGAAATAGGGCCTTTCTTCCGGGTTTGCTGGTTCAGGCCTCTCACGAATTTATATTAAAAATTATTTATTACTGGGGCTTCCTCACTTTTCCCGGCTTCTCCTTTCCGTGTGTAGAGCACAAAAAGCCAAAACTTTTTAATTGCTCTTTTTTCCGAATCGCTTTTCGCCTTCTGCCAGCTCGTTCGTCCTCGTTCGTTCCTCATTCTGGCTTCAGTTCCATGGAGACACGTACGTGCCTTTATTTTCCTTTAATGATATAACGTGATAAAACTGTTTTGCTCCTGCCTCCGCTCAGTTTTTCTTGTTTCCTATTTTTCCACGCTCTCTTCAAGGAGGTTCTGTTTATAGAAGGTTGTATATCACTCCTCGTAATAATGTGCAATTAACAAAAAACTTTCAGATTCGCAGACTCAAAAAAAAAGAACATGATAAATTGTTGGGACATAAGAAGAAAACTTTGATGAGAGAAGAGGCTAGTGTTTGAGACACTTTAATATATTTTGAATACCAATTGGCAAGCTCCCATAATAAGTTACAATAAGCGTTAAATATAATCAAATATAAATTTTTAAAATCATTAATATTGCAGCAATAATTGCCACTCAAATTATACATTCAAGTCCCCAAAAACCTAATCTGAATTATTTTCCCCGCTTTTGCAGTTCTGGGCCGCCTATGTCCCCTGTGAGGCGCAGCATCGCGATGCAGTGCAGCTGACTCTGGAGCAGATTGATGTGATCAAGCGGCTGACGGATCGCTACTCCCCGCAGCTAACCACCTGCACCTCGGCTCAGGGTGAGTTCAACATCGAAAAATATCGCACATACGCCGCATAGGCACACGGGCGCATTCCGGAAAGCAGCTGGGAAACTGAAAGTATTCCGGGAACGAGAAAAATTCCAGACGCTACTGCTGCTGCTGCTCTTTTTTCACTAGTTTTTTTTTCTGCCGGAAAACTTGGACTGGCACGAGTCGAGTCTTTGGCGAAAAAGTTGTTGAAAAGTATCTTGGCCGGCTACCAAAAAGCAGTTTCGGCGGAGTAGATGGCGGCCCTTGAGGCGGCTTTCGTGCCGCTGCTTACCGCGTGCCATATTTTTGCACCATTTCCTTTGATACGCTGCTGCTCACTCACCTAGTTGGCACAAGAAAGGAGGAGAGGCCTCGTTTAAGCGAAAGGAAAACAGTTCATATTTCCTTGTGTACGCGGAGTGGAGGAAGGGTGAGGTTGGAAAGAGGGCGGAGGCCGGAAGGGGTCCACTTGCCAAATAGCAAACAGACGTGCACTCAAAGAAAATTGTGAATATGTTCACAAGATCAAATATTGCGTGTTTAAATGGATTTTTAGTATTATATAATTACTATTATAAATGGGAAATTAATTAATTCTCAATTTTCTCAATTCTTAATCCATTATTTTCTTAAGTGAAAGAAAACAGCATGGAATAAAATAGAGAGCAATGGAGCTGAGTTGCAAGAAGCAGCTTTTGACTTATGCCTTGACTCCCCGGCCAGCATTTGAGTTTCCTTGTTGGTTTTCCGTTTTGCATTTTGATTTGCACCCACTCCGCGCCACGGACTCTAAGGTCCTTGGGTGCTCCGAGGTCCTGGCAATATTTTAGTGTTGCAGCTGCTGCACACACAAAGAATCGGGGCAAATGGCACAGAGGAAACTACAAAAATAAAAATAAGAAATGCCTGCAAAAGCAACAAATCGCTTCCGGCATTTGCGTTGAAACATTTATGTAGCCGTAAATGGAAATGTCAATAAATCATGGCTGAGAAGGAAAATCATCCGCAAAACCCAACAAGAAATATGAAGCAGGAAAACTTTTAGCAAAGAAATATTACTAGCACAATCGCAGCGCATATGTACACGATGTGTGAGGGGGAGTAGTGGCCAAGGATGTTTTCCCGTGCTTTTTGATAGTTGCCGAAGAAGCCAAAAGACAACTTTGAATCCTTGCAAATATGAACATCTCTATGGGAATCATATAAAAGCGAGCAGTTTGTGCCAATCTCCGTGATGGCCGCCTCTTGCCCCATTTTCATCCCAATCCCTCTCCCGATCTTCGCCTCCGTTGAGGTCAGCAGAAAAATGTTTCCTTTTAATTGATGCCGTTTTTTTCGTGCTAAGGAAATTGGATTGAGTGAACCGAGTGAACTGGCAAATTGAGCAATAAATTTGATTAAAATTGGAGCATGGAGAATGGGTGAAAAATAATGGAGGGGCATCTCATAAAGTGGAGAGAAAAGACAATAAGCCAAAGGATGCGGGACAGACCTTCAAAAATGTATTGGATTTTAAAGGAGAGTAATTAATTGTTTCATATAACATTTTTGTGTGATAAGAAACATATGCTAAACTACTTTTACCCATCAGAATCTCATCAACTTTTAAAATATTTGGTTTTATGTCAGCTCTTAAGCCACAAACACAATTAATGTTGATTTAAATCGACTTTCTCGTATTAAAATCCGTGGAAACCTATATTTTTAACCCACTACCGATAAGCAATCGACTTTATACTGGCAGACGAAAAATTCCCAATTACTTGCCAAACAAATCCCCGCCACATTTCCATATAATCAAACGGAAATCCCCGTTGAGCCCAGGCTGTAAACCAGCTCGGAAATCGAAGAAATCAAAGTGAAACCCGGCACAGGGGCAACAAACAAAAACTGACCTACCTTGGCTTGTTCTGTTACTGGCAAAGTACCAAAATAAAAGTAGAATCAAAATAAACCGACCTCGCCTCCAGGTTCGTGAAATCCCAGCTGCCGCTGCATAAAATAAAACCGAGCATTTTATTTTAACTACTGCAAATAAATTCAGCTGAAATTGTTGTGTCCGCTGGCCCGCCCGCTCACATGTCGTGTAAATAAAATGCGAATCTGAGTGACTATTGAGCAAATGCAGCAAAGCGTGCTTATCCTCAGGACGGTGCTCTACTCCCTTTTGGCAGGGTCCTCTCTGGAGCAACTCCTGCCAAAGTGATTGTAAAAAATGCAAACCTAACGAACCGAAATACAACGCGACGAGTGACGGGCAGCGTCACTCACTGGCTCCCGCTCCGGAATGCGGAATCTGGAATCCAAATCCAAGTCCACGCCTGGTCCAAGTTGGTGTGTTGCACTAGAAAAAATAACCTTAAATATGGGAAGTAAATGCTGAGCTTTTAGGGGAATTTGTTCCCATTTTACACGGGATACAAAAATTCCCTAAGAGAAAGAAATATAAATTTGTAGTTATTAATTCTATAGCTTCAAAACGTTTTGATAATACTAGGTTCATTCCTGATTAATTTTAATTATTTTCTTTAAGTGCACATCACCTGTCTCTTGTCCAACTAAACAAATGAGCGCTCCATAAACATAGCAGACATGCAGAAAGTGCTCGGGGAATGCGATTGCATATCCCTCGGATGATATCCTTGTGGCAGTACTGTCCTTCTCGTTCCTGTCCCCTGCCAGTGGTCGCATCAGCATTGCAGCTACTTAACATTTGGCACAGGCCAATGTGCAAATCGCTTTTATTTGCAATTTTCAATTTTCACCTTCAAAAGTGTAAACTTCAATTTACACAGGTCCAAACACACTGAAGCGCCTCGAGAAGAAGGATATTGAGAAAATCGCATTCAGTTGCAGCGAAGAAAAAACAAAAAACAAAACAAGGAAAGAAGCATTTGGTCGCAAAAAGCTTGGCACCCTCGAAAGTACACTCACTAAAATGTAGTACAGTTTATAAGTGTCAGTCGAGGGCTATAATTATCTCATTATCAAGTATTATTTAATAGCTCTGATATTTAATAGCTTCTCACAAAACTTTAACCAGAGCTCAATGGAGCTCAACTGAAGGGTATCTAATGCTTCGGCAATCTGAATTCTACTGCCTTCATTGTTCCCCTTTTGTATTGCTCGCTGTTGCCATTGCTTTTGGTTTATTGCGTCAAGTGGCATTTCGGTAGGGATTTTCATTTGGAAATGTATTGGAACACTTCTCCTGTGTGCGTGTGCAGGCGAGCGAATGCTCCGCAAGAATTGCCTCAATTCGCATCCGATTCGAGGACGGCCATCTATTATACATTACGGCCCCGGTCGCCAGAAATCGAGGAGCCGATGGGGACAAGGAGCAGGAACAACAGAAGAGGAGTCACCGTCACACAGTCGCAGTCACAGACAATTACATGCAGGAGCAGAACCAAAGGCCGGAGTCAAAGCCCCGGCTACAAAATTGAACTTCAGCTCACGTGGCGTATTTTAGTGCCTTTGACTGCCAGCGAAGGATTCCTGAGAAGGATTCCCTAGTATTGGTATTGGTTTCTGGTACATTTGTTTATTTGCCCCATATTTTAGGGTTTTACGACGTTTCCGACATCGACCAGGTTCTTCTTGTGGCAGGTATTTTGGCCTTTCCCAACAATGCACAGCAAGCGAAGAAAATGTATAAGAAAAGTGCACTAAAAAAATTATAAAACAAGAAATAAAGCTAACTTCTAGAGCACCAGCTTGTATACCCTTACAGTTGCCATAAGATCATCGGGTACGAAAGTACAATCGATCAAAAATGCATTAATTTTAATTTCGAAAGCTTTTCTTTGTTGACTTGTATTAGGATACCAGCATATTGGGCAGTAAATTATAAAATACTCAACATTTTTTATGCATTGTAAAGAATGGTAAAAGAAATCACTTTTTTAAAATCACAAAAACATAAATTTTTTGTCAAATTTTAACTATTTTTTAAACGACATAAAATTTAGATTTTTGCGCAGTGAATGCTATAGTAAGCAGCATCCGTGGTAACAATTCCCTTCCTTCCTTCCACCTGACATTGCCTTTGATTTTGGTTGCAGCTTATTTGCTTATAGCTATGAAAACTTCGCCAGTCCTTGTGTATTGGTTTTGAGTCCTTTTTCTGTTGCCAGTTTCCAGTTACCCCGCTCCTTCGACTCCCCCGCCTAGCAAATAATGCCTGTTGGCCTTCGTTATGTGGCAAAATTTATTAACCCGCTTTCCGTTTGGCCTTTACCGAGCATTGGAGGGGAGTGGAGTGTGTGCGAGACATTCGAAATGTTATCAAAATTGGGCACACAAAATACCTCTGATTTGAATAGCTTCTGGGAATGGGAACAACACCCATTTTCGGAGACCCAAAAGTGCGCAAAGCTTGGTACAGAAACATGGTTCTCCAATTAGTTGCAGATAAAACGGAACAACATTGGTGATTGACAAATCCATTAAAATAAGGGAATGTTTTACACATCAATCAATGACATATTTGGACCTTTTTCCAAAGGATCTCCATGTACTTTTGGAAATAAATTAATAAGAGGTTTGTACATAATACGAAACACATTAAATTAAATAAAAGGTTTCGAACGATTACAAATCGTTTTTCTTAATGTATAAATGAGCCCAGAACATCATCTTTAATATTTAAAATTCCTTAAACTTTCGGCCACAAGTTCAAGTTCATGAACACACTCAAAACGAAATCGTTGAGGCTCTTGAAGAAGTCCTTTCTAAACTAAATGATTATTTTAAGTCATTTAGTCTTTTCCACTGACTGTTGACCACTCCAACAAATATTCTGTTATTTTATATACTTTAAAATTAAGCATAACATTTCTCGATGGCTTAAAACAATGAATGCAATGAATGAATGAGCAATGCACAAGGATTTTGACAAGTGCTCGTTGACAGCTGAATAAAATGTCAAGAAACGGATCAAGGCTTTTCTGGGGCCAAGACAAGCGTGAATATTGCATGGCACAGCGAAATGCTTTGTTGGCCAACGGATAAACTGACAAGGACCAGGGCTAGCTCAGTCCGGAGTAGGACCAGCCACAATGCACCGTGCCCTGAGAGCTCTGCCCTCGATGGGAGGCAGGGCAGTCGAGCGAGTGACAGGCCGCAGAACAACAAATGTTACTCATGGCCGAAAAAAAAAAACAATGCCAGTCGTGGCCAAGTTTGAAGTTTATCCACAAAACCCCAAGCACTTTAGCCACTCGTCTGCCCAGGGAGTGCAGTTCAGGGGGATGGAAATCAGTAGACATGTCATGAAATTAAAAAGCTTTTTGTTTAATTCTTGGCCAGAACTCTTTGATATAAAAAGTAGCACTTAATTTATGTAGAAACTTTTCTGACAAATTCTATTTAGAATAAATATGAAGGGAAATTAAAAAAAAAGATGAGCTAGAATACACAATTTCTTACAACCTCTTTTACAGACATTATCGAAGCTCACAAGAATCAGCAACTTTGCTCTCTGACCGGCGTGGAGGGCGGTCATTCGCTCGGAGGATCCCTGGCAGTACTACGCACCCTGTATGCCATCGGAGTGAGGTACATGACGCTCACCTCCACCTGCCACACCCCCTGGGCGGACTCAAGTTATGCGGACGCCCCGACCTTTAACATGAAGCACGGCGGCCTCACCATATTTGGCAAGGTAAGTCATGAGCCACTCTTTCCGCTTTCTTGCAGCTGATTTAATGCTAATTAGTTGAACGGTCCCCGGGTCCGAGGGTTGTTTGTCCTTTGAGGAGCTTACATGGGGCTTTTGGTCGCTGATGAGGCGAGGTCCTTTCCCGTCCCTTTTCGCCCCCGCTCGGGTGCCCTCCTCAGGTTTCCCGACTCCATTGTACGCGTAACTACGGTCAACCGCAGTCAACGCTTTGTTGGCTTAGCCATAAACATGTGCAGCAGAGGAAAGTATGGGTGGGCACAGAAAGAAATTCAATGTATAAATAATATTTTTAGTTCCTATAACGTGTTAAAAAGCTTTAGACACACAAATAAGCAGACGATTATAACATTTTTCTATGCTTAGTTACAAAGTTTCGAAACTAATGTTTGTCTCATGCATTCAATGGTTTCCCTTTAGAAATTTGCCCACCTTTTTTTCCACAGTGTCCATGGGAAAATGGTGACGAGGTGGTCGTGTCTCGGCAGTTATGTACTTAAGTGCCCTTTCTGAGGGGTTTTCGAGGCAATGGGTCTGTGGGCGGATTCTGATGGCACCTTGTGCCCTCTAATGGCTCAACAGTTCGCAAATTAGGTGCCTACTACAGTTTACAATTGCCAAGCGGCTTTGCTGCGGGATTTTCGTGTGACCCGACCGACCGGATCATATATATTAAATTAGGCCCACCCCGGCCCTCAACTCCTCTCTGGCAGAGAGCTTTCGATGGCTGTGGCCAACTCCCTGGACCTAATGGGGCGAATACTTGAATCTATTATGGATTTGCACTAAAGAGAATTTTGGGTGGCCGAGGCATCGATTTCATGGTAAGATGCTAATTGGCTATATATGCAAATATCCTTGCCAAATAATCTATGAAGAGTGACTAAATCTGGCGATGATATCACGGTAAACAGAGAGGAAATTCGATGAGAAATGGTAACAAGCCATAAAATAAAACAAAGATAAAACCCGTTACAATTAATCGTCATTTTTAAAAACATTGTAAGGGAGTATTTTTAATAAAATAGAATATATTATACAACTTTATTATACCCTTGCAGGGTATTATAATTTCAGTCAGAAGTTTGCAACGCAGTGAAGGAGGCACCTCCGACTATATAAAGTATATATATTCTTGATCAGGATCAACAGCCGAGACGATCTAGCCATGTCCGTCTGTCCGTCTGTCCGTCTGTCCGTCTGTCCGTCTGTCCGTCTGTCCGTCTGTCCGTCTGTCCGTTTCTACGCAAACTAGTCTCTCAGTTTTGAAGCTATCTAAATGAAACTTTGCAGTTAGTCTTCTATATACTCTCACTCGTATATATGTCGGAACGGGCCGGATCGGACGACTATATCATATAGCTGTCATAGGAATGATCGGAAAAGTTTTACAAAAAAAATTATAAAATTATTAGTTTTCAACAGAATTTGATCAAATTTGAGATATAGCCATTTCATATTATTCTACAATTTTGTGTAAAATTTTATGAAAATCGGATTACTATATCATATAGCTCCCATAGGAACGATCGAGAAATTAATACAATTAAATTTATAACTTTTTTAGTTTTCAGCTGATTTTCATCAAATTTGAGGTATAGCCATTTTATATAAGTCTTAAATTTTGTGGCAAATTTCATAAAAATCGGACGACTATATCATATAGGTGCCATACAAACGATCGTTTGATGTAGAGGAAAAATGCAAATCTGTGAATGTAAAACTGCAAATATAATATGTATAGGTGAATGAAATGAAAGCAGGTATTACTTCATTGTTTTTTAACACAAATATATATAATTTATATTGTATGGATTCCTATTCATAGAAGTTCTATCTGCAAGGGTATATAAACTTCGGCGTGCCGAAGTTAGCTTCCTTTCTTGTTATATTATTAATTTTAAGTATATAACATTTAGTATTACCTTAAGAAAGCCTATTCTTGAAAAATCCGAGGCATAAAATTTAATTTATATGAAAATAAAAGAGTGTATATGAATGAAATCTTTAATTCAAGGATTAAATTTATTTATGAATGATTGTATATTCCCAATTTAGATGTTTTTAAAACCAAAAATTCAGCCCGAAAGGGGTATTTCTCATGCATAGCAAATAGTAGTAGTAGTAGTAGTAGATAGTTGAATGCATAAGAGAAATATTGTTTCGTGGCAAATTTATGCTCAATCAAAAATTTCCTTTTTTTTATTCGAACAGAACTTCCACCAATAATATAATATACATTTTATAAATTTTCCCCAATATGCAAATACCATTAAGATTTTTCCAATCAAGATTACAGATGCAAACGCATCTGAACTTGAATTTGCAGTCGCATTTCTGGGCGCTAAATCAGCGTGAGGTCATCAAACTTGAATGTGTCATGCATCAAGGCCAGATGACAATCAAATTTTTGTATAAAAAAAACCAGAGTACCTTCTTCAGTCAGTCAGTGCACAGGCACAGGCACTCGATTTGATTTATTTTCCTTTGGCTTATTTTAAAACTCGTGTCGGATTCTCATGTAATTATTTTGAAATTCGAATTTTTTCGGTGGCCACTGGCCACCTCGAATCCCACCGCGGGGATGGGGTTCAAACAAGATTACGCGAAATTGCAATTGCAATTTGTTGTTTGGTCTTCACGGGCCTCCGCTTCCTCTCTTGTTTTTTCCGTGGGCCAGTGCCAAAATGCTATTTGCAGACAAAGTGCATGCGGAAATACAAAATTTACAAAAAAAAAAAAAACAAAAAAAAAAATAAATAAATAAAACAGCAGAAAGACAGGAAAAAGTCAAGTCAAAACAACAAAGGGGGGCGATAATAACACTGGCAGCAGAGAATATCAAACAAACCACACAGCTGGCTGGCTGCGGGCAGGAAATGTAAATTTACTGATTCCGAATATTTACGCTCAAAACTTATACATATTTTTCGAGAGTGATTGGTCCCGCCTCTCCGCTGCCCAGCCCTGCCAATATGGAAAGTTAAATGCTAACCGAAAAGAATCCACGTCACTTCCTCATTTAACCTGCGGAATTTTCAATTACACATCGCCTCGTACAAAACAATAGGCAACGAACAAAATACGCAAAATAAAAAGTGAAAAACTCGACCAGGCGCAGGCGCCAGGAGAAATTCCCCAAACTAGAGAGAGTGTCTGAAAAATCAGGAGAGAAATACATATAGATGGAAAATTTTAGCTCTGCTCGAAATGAGCAGGCAATGGGAAAATCGAAATTTTCATTCATACTATAGAGTGAATTGAACAGTGTTTGTAAAATGGTTTTTCAATGTTATGAAATGCTAAATACTAAAATAAATGCAATTATAAAATTGTATAAACATTTTATTATACTTTTACAGTTAAAAAAAACATTCGCAGGTTATTATAATTTTAGTTTTGTGTGAAGTGAAGAAGTCATATTATTGATTGGCATTAGCAACCGGATCGATTTTGCCATGTTTGACAAAAAAAAAAATCTAAAATTAAAAGAATTATTATCAAATTTCTTAATAGTTATAGAAATGTTTGTTCTAAGATTTTCCAGCTAACCAAAAGTTTGTTTTTAACCTACAAAATTCCCAAAAATTAATGGAATACATTTTTCATTGAAAAGAAAAACCACTGTGACCAATTAGCGCTGTCCGCCCGCGCTGTCTAAAAATACCGGCGCACCCCACCGTCCAGCTCCGAGCGCCCAACAAGGGGCGCCAGAGTCACATGGGTGAAAATGCTGTATGGTGAAAATGCGCTCTCCGCTCGGCATTTTCCCACTCTTCGGCTCTCTGGCTCGGCATTCCGCGCTCCCAACGACAACGACGAAGTTGCTGTGGAGGAAAATCGCCAGTTCCTCGACGCAAATCGGCAGCAGTTTTTAGTCGCCGAACGATTTTCGCCACAGCAACGAGGAAAATCGCCTCGTTGTGTTTTATTGTGAATGTGAATGGCAGCGAGAGAACGAGACGGAGGAAGGAAAAACCAGCAGAATATACGAAGAATATACACAGAATATACACGAAATTCTTTTTATAACGAAACCACACCAAAACGCGCATCGCAACGCACATAGAGCCCAAGAAAAAAGGTGAACAAATTAGCTAACAAAACTAGCAACCATTACTAACCCCCAAGTTTTGCTGGAATGCCACTAATGTACTAACCCGAAGCGAGAGAAAATAATAAGAAAAAGTCAGGGAAATAATGTTCAAAATGCAGAGGCAAGTGGACTAATCGACACACTACTTCCTCCTCTATACACGAATCGAAAAACAACAACGACGACGACACTTTCTGGCATCGTGATTTGATGATGACAACGCAGCAGCAGAAGCAGCAACAGCAGCTTGTGGGAAAGTTAGCAGCAGCAGAGGCGGAAAACGAGGGAAACACAGCGGGAGGAGGTGCAAAAATGACGGCGGCGACCTCTGGGGGCGGCAGCTCGGCATCGGCCGGCGGAAAAGCTGGTGGTGGAAAGCACAGGTCGAGGTCATCTGCCCGATACGACGATGTGGAGAAACAGCAGCGCAAGAGCCGAGCCATCGTCTCCATCCCGAACACCATCAAGCTGAGCATGCTCAACAGCGGCCTGCTCTCCTTCGATCGCATCAAGTTGGAGGCCCGGGACGAGAACAACTCCCTGTCCAAGACGATACCCATGGGGCCCATCGACATCAGGCACTTCCTCAAGCTCTGCGACCTGAGGAGAAAGTTCCCGGTGCTCTACAAACTGGAGTTTCAGACTGCCGCCAAGGTGGAGACGAACACCTGTCGGCATGCCATGAAGAAGAACAACCAGGAGAAGAACCAAAACCCCAAGTGCATTCCCTACGACTACAATCGCGTTGTCCTGGAGAAGATCGGTGGGCTGCAGGACTCGGACTACGTGAATGCCTCCTACGTTGACAGCTTACTCAAGCCGAATGCCTACATTGTGACCCAGGGACCAGTGGAGGAGACCGTTCAGGCCTACTGGCGTATGGTGTGGCAGGAGAACATCAGCGCCATCGTAATGCTGACGAAGACCTTCGACTTTGCCAAGGTGATGTGCCACCAGTACTGGCCACCGAACATGGAGGTCCACGAGCAGTACGGCGACATCTACATAAACATCGTGAGGGAGGAGCAATTGGCCAACTTCCATATAAGGACTTTCAGGCTGTACAAGATGAACGAGAAACAGGAGGTCACCGACGAGCGCCTGATCTTGCAGTTCCACTACACCGAGTGGTACTCCCACTCGTGTCCTTTCTCCAATGCCCTTTTGGAGTTCCGTCGGAGGGTCCGCTTGGTGGTGGGTAACATCATCAAGGACGGCGACGACATGCGCGGCCCAATCCTGGTGCACTGCAGCGATGGCGGTGGCAGGTCCGGCGTCTATATGTCTATCGATGCCAACCTGGAACTGGCCGAGGAAGAGGAGTGCTTTAATGTCTTTGGCTACCTCAAAAAGCTGCGGCAGTCACGGAAGGGCCTTGTGGAAAACGTGGAACAGTACAAGTTCATCTACGACACTTTGGAGGAGCACATCATCTGCGGCAAAACCTGGTTTCCCGTCTCTGAGCTATCGGATCGGCTGAAGGCCAAGGCCAGGCGCAACTCGGGCACCAAGATGAACGAGTACCAGGCGGAGTACGATCAGATCTGCAAGCAGACCCCGCGGTTCACCATCGGCGACTGTGCAGGCGGTCATCGAGCGGATAATCGGGAGAAGAACCGGGACGTCCTGTGCGTGCCGCCGGATAATTTCAGACCCTACCTGACCTCCTTCCAGGGCAATGCCTTCACGGACTATATAAACTCGGTGTTCGTAGACGGTTACACGAAGCCCCGGGAGTATATAGTGACGGAGTGGCCTATGAAGCACACGCTGGGTGAATTTTGGTCCCTGGTCTATGACCAGGAGTGCTCCGCAGTGGTGGTCCTGTGCCAGCCACCGTCGCAGTCGCAACAATATCCCTCCTTCTGGCCGAACAAGTCAAAGATGGAGAAGTACGGCCCTGTCTTCTCCGTGCACTATGTGATGTCCAAGAGCTACACGAACATCAAGCAGTGGGAGTTCAAGATCAACAAGAAGATCGTCTCGCTGACAGAGATGATGGCCGGCGTAAAGGCGCCCACGAGAACCGTCCAACTGTTCCAGTTGACGTGCTGGCCCATGGGCCACAAGGTGCCCAGCTCTACGAACTCGCTGGTCTACCTAATGAACATGGTGGAGATTTGGCGGAACAAGGTCGACTACGGACCCGTGTGCGTTGTCTCGCCCGATGGTCGCAGTCGGGCCGGTGTTTACTGTGCCGCGAATGCGTGCATCGAGCAGGTCATCCAACACGGCGAGGTCGATGTCTTCCAGGCGGTAAAGACGGTGCGCCGCCATCGTCCGCAGCTGGTGGAGAACATGACCGAGTACAAGTACTGCTACGACCTGGTCCTGCACTACGTCCTGCACTTCCTCAACAAAAAGGAGTGAGTGAGGCTGTCGGCCACTACTATTTTTTTGGATGCCCTGGAAAGGTGCTTTAATGGTTAACAGAAGACGATACAAAACGATACTTGTGGTCCATATATTTGAAGCCTGGGTTCTCTTTTTAAAATCCTAGGAGCAACACACACACGCCGCCTTAAAGCAATAATACTGAGTATTTTTGTTGTCCACAAAGAGGTAAAAGGAAGAGAGAGCAAGTGCGTCAAGGAAGGGATACATTTTTGTTATGAGCGTAGAAATATAATTTCACGCGCCAGTTTTTAAACTTGTTTTATGACCACGAAACATGATACTACTACCTACGGGTATATATATGCTATATATATACCCCGTATAAGCTTTTTGATCTGAAATGTATGTGCCATTTGTAACCCTAGTTGTTGTTTGTTATAAACAGAAAGGAAGTGAACAGTGTGATGGCGATTCTGGGGATATATCGGGGGAGCTGAGGAAACTATAGGAAAGATAACAATTACCATTACAATTTATATTTATATCTGTAGTTTATTACGTTTACTCTTTAAAAAGAACAAAACAGAAAGAACTTGCTACCTGGGCAATTGTTGATATATATCTAAACTACATATACCTATAATGATCTATTTATACATAAAAATATATATACATATATGAATGTTATGTACTATGTAACAGTTAACAGAACTTTATTTTTTATTCATGTTAAAATCCAAAAAATTTTCAAGAAAAAACACAAAACTAATATTTATAGCACCAAAAGGGGCAACTTCGCACTACAGAAGTAAACAAACTTTATATATTGTTTATTTTTAGAAAACAAAACACAAACAAAAACACACACATATAAAACACTCGGAGAAAAGTACATAATTATGTATGATTGTATCATGATTTTTCTGTATTTTGAAAATACTATTTTCGCATTTATTCATTCAACACACAGACCTACCTACAAACATATATTTATAAATATTGTTGTAACTCTTAATTAATTGATTTTTTAACTGTGTATAGTTGAGCGTATGTCCATGTTAATCCTTTGTATAAACCAATCAAGTTGTGTGAGCAGATAGCACAAAACTCGTATTGGATTAGGCGAAACGAATTAAATCGAATAAGCCAAGAAAAATATATATATAAGAAACGAAACGAAAATGCAATAGAAATGTGTATTATTTGGTTGGGTTGGTTTTGGGTATCTTTTATATAACAAGTCCAATAACGGAATTTTAAATATTTGAAACACTTTAGGAAAACAAAGAAAATGTTCCTTCCCAGCCTATACATCTGGATACAGACAGATGATCTAGATACTCTACAATTTTTGGCATTCTTCAGCTGAGTCATAAAATCGAAAAATCAATCAAAATATATTCCGCTCTTAGCGACTGAAATTATTTGGCCAAGGAATGGGGCCAGATGAATTGGCAAATGGAAATGAGTGTAAACAAAGCATTAAGCGATGATCCCGAAGGGAATACAACTCAAAAAGCCGCATACAGGGCATATAAAACCTTGACCAGATTACAGTTTAATGCGTGCAAATCAAACAGAGGCGATGTCCATATAGATATGGTCTCTCGATAAGGCACGGAGCGCACGGCGGGTAACCGATGAGGTAAGGGGTGACAGAACCCAGAATGGGGAAGGTGCGTTTGCTATAAAATCGATAAATGACAACACACTTTGCTTTAGTCGGCAATAAAAACCAACAGCAATAATAGTAAAACTTCGTGGCGCGCAATGACATCAGCGGAAAAGTCAGGACGGAGAGGAAGAGGTTGGGAAAACGGGAAAAATCCGCAATATGAAATTGAAAAATTGTGTACAAATCAAAGCGATTGAGAATAAACGATTCAAGCTGAAATCGAAAATGAATATCACCCTGTCTGGCACAAAGTTTTCCATTGCCATTAAAATATTTTTCTTTTTTCATTTCGCTTAAATATATATGTATATTCCCAAAATTTTTGCCATTGTTGTTGGCACTTTAATTGTGAAATATCATGCAGTTCGGAAATTGTTGCCATGGCGGGGCAAAATTTTATGCAAGACAAATAAACCAATTAGGTTTTCGTTTTGGAAAATTTATCTTTACGAGCTATTAATACAAAAGCCAGCGCGCGGCAGCAAATTGCAGGCGGGCTTAAGGAGAGGAGGAGGACATTTAGTTTTAGTTAATTAAAAAGTCAGTGGCAATTAATTTAGTGGCTTTGCTCGAAAATTTATGGGGCCACACATAAAGTTATGAAAGTGAATCAAATTGGATTGCCAAAATTGGAATTTTTATGGCAATTTCGAATACCGGAAACTGAAAAAAACAAACATAAAATATAAGTCTACAAATTTTAAAGTTATTAAAGAAATTTAAATAAATTTTTAATAAAAACTTTTTCTTATTAGTTTTTGATAGTATCCCAAAACAAGGAGGCGAACTAACTTCGGAAAGCAAAACTTAATATAAGCTTGCAGTAACTAATATTGATCATATATTTATATGACAATTTATTCTACAAATCAAGGCTTAAAAAACTCATACCTTAGCCAAAAATGCATTAACTTCAATATGGTAGTCAGTGCTGTATTAGGTATTAACAGGTTAAAACATCTGCATACTCAAATTAAAATTTTTAAATTTAAAATGTTTGACAATTTTTAAAAATTGTCTAAAAGGTAATTAGCCCCTAAAAATTGCTGGAAAAATTTAAAAAAAATTGTTTTCTTTCCTACATGCCTAGAAAGAATCGCCGGTTCACCCTGATCAAGAATATATATGGTTCATGGGGTCGGAAATGAGTCCTCCACTGCGTATGACGCTTCAGACTGAAACTATAATACCATGCAAGGGTATAAATATTCTCGTTATTTATCAAATATTTATATGACAATTTATTCAACAAATCAAAACTTTAAAAATTCGTAGCTAAGCCAAAAATGCATTAATTTCGATACGGTAGTCAGTGTTGTTGTGCTAGTTTTTAACAGGTTAATAAATCTGCATAATCAGATGAAAGTATTAAAATTTTTCATTTTTTGACAATTTTAAAAAATTGTCTAAAATGTAATTAGCCCCTAAAATTGTTGAAAAATTGGCCAAAATTGTTTTCTTTCCTACATGCCTAGAAAGATTCGCCGGTTCACCCTGATCAAGAAAATATATGGTTCATAGGGTCGGAAATGACTCCTTCCCTGCGTTACAAGCTGCAGACTGAAATTATAATCCCCTGCAAGGGTGATCATATCTTTATATGACAATTTATTCTACAAACCAAAGCTTTGAAAATTCATAGCTAAGCCAAGCTAAGCTTATAAATCTGTTCAAAATTTGGGTTTTTTTTATTAATTTATAACAATTAAAGGGAACTTTTGTTAGGGAATATGAGAAATTCAATGAGTTAATTTTTTTTTACATGTTAGAAAGAAGGTTAAAAGCTTGAGGGTCTTTTGATTGATTAGTTTGTGAGACAAAGCAATGTTTACTGTTCCTTGGGCATAGATACATTGACGATGTTTTCTGGTTGATCACACTTTAGCCTTGCTCGGGATTGCCAGTGATAGTAAATCACTGTTTTAATGGATGAGAGCGTAGTGTGCGTTTGCGTTGTTACTGATGTTGTTGCCTTAAACATCCTTAGTTGTTAGCACACATGTTTACAATAAACCCGGCCAGTCAACTTGAGAGTGCCAACAAACCAAATGGCAGCTGCAAGGACCAGAGACATGACAAGCTAGCTTTCGTTGAGCCAAAGAAAGTCTACACTTAGAGAAAGAATTTGTATACCCCTTCAAGGTGTTATAATTTTAGTCGGACCCTAAAAATCATACATATTTTCTTGATCGGCGGCAATACCCGAGTCAATCAAGCAATTTCCGTGGAAAAATATGTACCAATTATTTCGAAATTTTATAATATATAATTAATTACTTTAAAAACGAAATAATTATACAATACAGGGAACATAATTTAACAATCTAAAAAAAACAATGTTGGGTTCCCCCGAGTTTTTCTCTGTACAAATTCCTTGTATGGGTGCAAGACAATAGATATTATTAGACAAGTGCAGCACACAAGAGCAATATACTGCAGAGCTGCAGCTTTATATTCAGAGCCGAAGTCACTCTCTTAGGCGGCCAGGAGCGACCATTTCAATTTGTCAGTCATCAACAGAGCCAAGAGTCAGCACTGCTCGTCGTCCCTTTGTGTGAGTGTCGAGCATCCGAACTATTTGCATTGTGTGCATGTCAAAGTCGTCGTGTTAACATTAATTAAATCTATGGCCTGACATGCACAACAATACGGATCCAACTCTACACCCTTCCCACAGGTCATTGTCGATGGCTCGCCGCATTGAGTTATTGGTTTTGATTTGCCATTTTTTGCCTAACCAGGGGGAGTTTGTTGCAGCTATTTAAATATAAATATTGATTGACACACTTGGCAAATAATTATTTATACAGTCGCATTTGTATTAATTGCGAATTGACACCACAGAGCTCACGCTGAAAAGTATGCCAGGTCCCCCGGGGCTAAAATAATCGAATACAAGTGTTTTAATATTCACATAATTGTTTTCGCCTCGCTCCTCTTAAAAGAGTAGCTTTGGCTTTATTTGAGAGCATTTTCAAAACATTTAAGTGAAGTGAGCTGAATTGGGCCCCGAGGGGCCTTGCAAGTAGTGTTTTCAATAATAAATAATCAAGAAATCTGAGCTGCAAGCCATTTTGATTATTTGTAAATAGCTACTTTTATATGTATTCGTAAATACTCAGTATTATTTCTACACCAGCATTCATTGTTTTATAGCTTAAATTAAGTTATTTTCTCTAAAAAATAACCTTTCCCAGAGAAAATCTGTTTCTTTTGTTTTCCGTCTTAACTCCAGTCCAGAGCCAGGCTTATTTTAAATGAATTGAAAACTAGTCGTCATCGTTGCTATGAAAGCGATGCCAGGAGCGCACACATAGCATTCGTTTAATTATTTAAATTTAATTTCATGTCATATCAAATTAGTGCCACTCATTTTCACTCCGAGTACACGGAGTCAGCGTCAGCTCCCGTCTACCTTTCTGGCCCCGATTCCTGCCATTATGTGTGTGCTGAGTGTGTAAAGGCTAAAGGCCAACACTTTTTAACTCATTTCCATTACGTGCCGCCCCTTTTTCCTGGCGCAAATAAATGGCGGCATGCTTTTGCAATATGCTGCCATCATTTTAATATTATTATTATACATATTATAAACTCGTTTCGTTGCGAGTGCGGTTGCCTTTGGGTGACTGAGTGAGGGGAAGTGTGTGCATACAGGTGTGTAATAGGCATCACTGCCACTGCCACTGCAACTGCAACTGCAACAGCCACTGCCAGTGCAATGGCAATGGCAATTGCACTCCTTCAGGTGA